TTAAATTTGATTGTTTATATGCAAGTGGGTTAGACTACTGTTAACATTAATAAAACCTTTAGATCGACATAATACGAGGTGTGTTCAGAAAATAACGGGAATTGTTAAATTTCGCGGGTTCGGAGGGTCCGGTTGTCATAAAATTTTCTTTATTATGTTGGTATACATGCCCCCGAAGTATAATAAAAACTTTAGCTGTTTTCATTGTTTACTTTGTCTTTGGCAGCCGCTAAGGTTAGACGTGTTTTATGAGCTCGGCGATTTTTCGTTCGTTGGATGGATCAAAGAATTTGTATCCAATTTTGCTTAAAAAATGAAATAAATTCTGTGAAATGTTAACAAAGGCCTATAGTGAGTCTGCTATAAGTAAAACAGTTTACAAGTGGTATAATAGTTTCCAAGGTGGCCGTAAAGACGTTGAAGATGACGAACGACCCGAACGCACAAGCACATTAAAAACCGATAAAAACATGGAAAAAGTGGAAGAAATGGTTATAAAGGTTATCCCAAAGATCGAGTTTTAGAAGTGTTTCGAGTATTGGAAGAAGAGCTGACACATGTGCATAATATCCAATGGGGACTATTTTGAAGGCGACAACATTAATGTAGACGAATAAATAAATATTTTTTTCAAAAAACGAAAATTCCCGATATTTTCTGAACACACCTCGTATTGTACAAAAGTTCATTTAAATTACTTTCAGCAGCAATTTTGGACGTAGCAATACTTACCAAGTCATTCTTTGAAGAGTCAGAAGAATTCGACAGATTATTTTCGTCTTTGGAATCTAATTCCTTCGTCTTGCATTAAAAATAACAAATTTGTTAAAAAAATTCTCAATTCCTGAAATATATTTAGGGTGATTTTTGCTAGCCTTATACAGGGCTACCATGTTTTTTTAACATGTTTTTTTACAACAAATACTACAAATATTATTTAAAAATTGATTTAAATTAAATATACGAAAATAAAATAACCATCCCAATAAACATTTTTGACGTTATTTTCACCATTAACATTGCACGTTATTATTTTAATTAAACAATTATTGATACTTTAAAATATTAAAATAACTTCAAAATATGATTATGTTTAAAAAATATTTTATCCTTAGATTTTTTAATATTATAATCACAAAATTCTTACACGGGAAATCTGGGTTACTGTATTATTTTCGCTTCATACAAATATTTAATTTAAATCATTTTTAGATAATAGAAAAAGTATAGTATGCAATACTTTTTTTAGACACTCATTTAATTAAGCATTCGCTTGTGCCTAAATTAAATTCGTGACTAAAATATCAAACTTATATACTAAACAACAGAAAGGTCTTTTAATACATAATAGCCCCATGAGTACTTGCTAGTTATCACGTAGTCATTTTTTATGTGTGACTTAACACGTTCTTACCTCTACGTCCATTTTTCAAACTTAGCAGCAATAAAACAAAACAGGAAATTAATTTATTAGTTTTCAATTTGATTTAATATCTATCTACTATGGGTTGGCCCAAAAAATAAATTATTATCTCCACATTTTTTTTATTTTATAACATCTACGTAAATCCTAATTCTGCATATCAATATTTTAGGAGAAATAAAGTATGGAAATTAATTTAATTAAATAAAAACAGCTCTACACTGTACTTGAAAAATAAAAAATAATAATAATTCTTTTTAACAAAAACATAAATAAATATCACTTCTTTTTAAAAAATAAGTTACATTGACTAGTTTTTTAGCCAAAGTTTTTTTAAATAAAATTAAAAGTGAGGTAAAATTACTACTTTCTTATATATGTATCTCAGGTAGAAACAAGTAGAAATTTTACCACACCTTTTGTTTGATATATAACACAGTAAATTATTTTCGAAAACAAACGAAATATGACTAAAATTGACAATTTTGTAGAAGTCTAGGAGCTATTACATTTTGTTTTTTAGGTATATTTTGTTGTTTTTTAAGAAAAATCTAGGTGATGATAAAAAGAATTTAATAAACTAGAACCTATAAATTCATATTTTTTAAATTAGCCCTGTTCTTGTAAAATTTTGGTTACCCAGTCCATATGAAATTATAAAATAAAACAAAAACTAAACAAGTGGGTTTTTGAGGGTACAAATTTGGTAAGAATATTTCATCATTACAAAAAGACACTTAAGTGAAGGCAATTTTTACAATGTTTTTCCTTCATTCAATTGTAGACCACCCTACTATTTACTATATCTAGATAACCACCTGTTGATGTATGAAATGATATTTAATAAAAAATGATGATGAAATTTATTTTTTCTGAAGTTTTTAGAAATATTTATATTCAAGGGACTCGTAAAAGTCTGCAGGACTAGTAAATATACCTAATAATAAAATAAAGGACGAAACAAAAAAAGTGATAAAACATATGGTGCCAAAAAAACAACAAAATCTGTCAAAATTGGCAGAATTATCTACGAACATACCTTTAATATCGAAACTTTAGTATTATATGTGTATTTTCACGTTTTTTTATAGATAGTTTGTTAATTTTTTCAATAAATATTGTTACTACGCAGGTAAACACGTCAGTCTGACGACCGGAGTGGAAATGTAGAAAATGTGACCTTAAAAGACCTTCTAGACTCTCTGACGTCACGTGGTCACGTGTCCCCGGCGAGTGCACGCATCAACACGCAAAAATACGCAATTTTGCGTAAGACTAGATTGTCCAAAAATCATCGTTTTTATCGAAATGCATTCGCAAAAGTCAAGGGAATTCGTAATGTGAAGTCTAAAAACAGGTTATGCTATTTTTAAGGATCGATACGAAGGCATGTGATGTTTCCCGCGTTCTGATTGGTCGAAATGACGGGTGTGCCAGACGTGGGTTAAAACTATTGACCGAAAGCAGTGGCGTAACCGTAAAAAGGGGGAGAGGTAAATTCTGTAGACCTAGAATAAATTATTTGAAACACTTTAAAAGTATATTTTTCCAATTTAAAAATTCAATTATTTATTTATTATTTTTAAATATAATATTGTTGTTTATATTGTTATAGAACCATGTAGTGTATTTTATGTATCGCAATAAATTTAATAGTTAAACCTTTTTTTATTAGATTTTATACTTTTTATATAAATAAACTTAACAAAAATTTTTTGAATTTTTTATAATAAGTATTATAATGCCTACGCCAATGTCATGACGGTTAAATGACATTTTTAAATTCGTACTTGCTTGTCTAAAGAACTCTAAATTAACGATTTTTTGATTTTATTTATAAAAAAATACAGTTTTACTACTCGTGAGGAAAATGTCAACAGATTTGTTAATTACTAAATAATTAAGTATAAATTTTTCTAAACGTATATTTTTCATTCACTCTACCTAACCTTACTTTAAATAATTAATTATTATTATACTTAATTGTACGTTTTGTATATTGTTTGAGAAATAAAATTGTTCCTAAAATTGTACAAAAGTAACCAATGTGTATTTTTAATTAAAAATAATCTTCTTGTCATTTTACATCCGTTATAAATAATTAAGCAGAATTTATTAACAACAAAACATTACCAAATCTGACCTTAAAAACATTATCATAGGTAATTGGGAAAGATTTAAAAAGTGGTTTCGTAATTTTTATTTTAGAGAATTTCATTCATGTGTGACACACCCACTGTTTAAATCGCACACCCTTTTCTTAGAAATGATGACGTAATACCTGTACATTATGTCGGACCCTATGTGGCTATTAATAGATTTAACGGCCGTATTATGATGAAATTTAAAATAAGAATTTTCTAGAATTTTTTTATTACCTACTTATTTCTTCGAAATATAAAAATATACAGGTACTTAAGTATGATTATATTTTTTTAGATTAACTTTCTTTTTGGAAATTATTATTAAATAGAATCAAGATCAAATAAAAACAATAGTTTTAGATTCTGATAAAGAAAATTGAGGATGATCTTTTGGGTATCAAATACGAATATTTTTTGGATTTTTGTTTTGAGATATGCACATGGAGATGTCCCCCAAGTGAAAATGATTATTTTTTATTTTTGGTTGTTTCACTGTTAGTCTAGAATGGGGTTTTTGGAAAGCCACCAGGTCTAGCAATAACAGTAACGCAAGAATTTTAAGAAATCATACATTTTGAATATTAGAGCTTCACGGAGGTTAGGATTTCGTATGTTTTTTTTAAACATACCTTTGTATATTTAAAATAAGTTATTGTATCTTTTGACTCCTTAATATTTTAAAAATACAATTGTACATACATACATAAAATATTTATAAAAAAAATCTACTTACTTAGATATTACACTTCACGGTGGATAGGTTTTTAAATAGCGAATTAATGAACTTAAACTTTTGAATTATAAAACAGCAACACTCTCATCTGCATATAAATTCTAACTGACCTTCAGGAATCACATTCATCTATAATGTCGAAACAGAGGTTTTTGCTTATTTAAAATGATTAAAGCGCCATCCGTTGCATAAAATTTAACGCAAAAACAGATTCACGGAGGATAGAATCAATTTTTGTAACATCCACATAAATGGTTATAAAAATTATTTGTTTTAATTTTTAATAATAGGTATTTTATATTTGATTCGATTGCTTTGGATGTGTTTAATTTACTTAGTGAACTGATATTTTTAGTAAGCTTTTCTACCTCAGATATTTGAAAACATATAGGTTAACCTAGAAAGAGAAACAGTCACGGAGGATAGGTTTTAGACTTTTTAAACATTGTAAAAAATAATTAATTGCGGTTAAAAATCTGGAACCTGAGCTGTAATATAAAAGGTCAACTCATTTAGTTTTATTAAATATTACGGGGTAACACCATCGGGGGACATTTCGTGAGATTCACGTCAAAAACAAAAAAATTAAAAACCGGTGCATAAATCGACTGATTTTAGATTCACGCGGTATATTTTTAAATAATATAACAATTTAACATTATAATATCTTTAAATAACGATTGCATTATTTATAAACAAACAATGAATTTTTTATCACGCAATCCAAAGAAATTATGAATGCTTTTTTTGTATTAATTTATACTACTGAGCAATGACATGTTATCTCTGTGTACGCACGACATATCAATAAATCAAAACGTAAGTATAAAAATAAAAAAATTAAGTGGAAAATTGCATAAATTTATTAAATCACGTGTATCTTTTAACAGTGACATTAAAAATATGAACAAACTCCTAAAATCTACGAGGCTATTGAATGTAGGTAGAACTAGAGTAAGCAGCTATAACGTAAACGAAACCAAAAAAGAAAATGGAAAAAGAAAACCTTACAAATCTGCTGAAATTTACCCAGTGTTGATGGTGTACAAAACTGACGATTTTATTGAAGAAGACGTGTTTCAACCAACAATAAATATAAGCAACATAGACTTGATTGACGATGATATTTTGGAGTATATTTTATCGTTTTTGACAGTGGTGGACCTGGTTAGAGCGTCAGGGGTTTCTAAAAGGTTTAATAGAATAATATGGGGTGCTGATATGTGGAAAAAATCCCTAATTTTTGACCAACCAGTTGATGTAGATGATGCAATTGAAACCATCACGTCAAAATTATGGTTGAACGCCTATCCAAAATGGGTGAAAATAACTTACTTATCGGTAACAAATGCCCAAATGACGGATAAAGCTCTAAACATCCTCGCCAGGCATCTCCCATCTCTATTATATCTGAAAATTCACAACTGCGATGGGGTAACCACTGATGGTTTGTGCCAGTTTACCTCAACATGTGAAAAATTGTCGAGGATTGACATTTCTGGATGTGTTAATGTACAAGGTGTTAGTTTTAATGCAGCCAGGCCCATTTATGCCAACTTCACAGGGTGTTCCAGATTAAGAGATTATGGGTTTTTTGACACCACAAATTGTTACGATTTGGTCATACTGTATTTAAATGGGTGTTCGGAAATCACAGGTGGGTCTTTTTATTTATGTTTGATCAGATCTTATGCTTGGTTTTTGAGAAATTCTAAATCAAAAACTCATCTAAAAATTTTGGATATTATGGCTAAGAATTTGTTGAAACCGGATTCTTGAAAGAAAGGTTTAGACTGGTATAGTATTCAATATTGTCGAATAAGTTAAGTAGCTACAGGTTTATATTTAAGCCTGGTGGAATGTAGAATTTTTTTAAGTAGAAATCGGATTCAGAATTAGGGTTTTAAAATTTTCGGAAAAATTCAGAAATTTTTTAGAAAAATTGCATTTTTTTCATTTTTATTCAAAGGGTAATACGAAAAAATATAATTCAATTTTTCTGAAAATTTACAAAGTTTTACTTTGTGCAATATGTTGAAATCTTTAAAAAATAAATGTACAATTTTGTACAATTTTTAAAATATTTCGTATAAATATAGTATAACTTTGAGTTAAAATATAAATTTTACAATATTGGAGAAGTTGTTATGGAGTGAAGCATCACACCACCTAGGATAACCAATGAAATGATTTCCCGATTGAAATAAGACGCCGGCCGGTCGCTCAACTGCAATCTGCATCATCAGTTTGCAGTTTTAGTTAGTGTTAGGAAGTGTACCATTGTGAGGTTAGTACCACATTTCTGGTAAGTAATTAATTATTGAATATTATTTTTCCGAATAGGTAGGTAGGTATTTGCAAAATTGTTCACGGACTGTAATAAATCAATAATTATGAACTGGTGATCAAATGAGGATAAAAAGTGTTTCTATGTTCCTACTGTGCTACATTATTGATCAGCTTACTATTTACTTTAGTTTGTAATTTATGTTTATTTTATGTTTTAAGTTTATATTAACTTAATTCTATCCTTACAAAATGTTTGTGTTGGTCGCTGAATACATATTTAATCTATCGACAAATTTTGTACTATTATAAGTGGAGACGCACTTCATGTTGAATTATACCTCAATATTATTAGAATTAAGTATACGAATTTTATTTTTCAGTATACTACATATATATAGTTTATGTTTTGTTACGTTTATTTTATGTTGTCAGTGTCAGTTTAGGTATTCTATTATCCATATTTTTTGTAGTTCGCTGAATACATAGGTATCTAAATAAATAATTTAGTTTTATTTTCCTTTATACCACCATCTCATCCCAAAAATTATTAAAATATTTAAATAAATTGGATAAATTATTATTAAACAATGTTGTGTAAAATAAATTATGTTTTTAATATAATAAGTTTACTACAATTATTTAATACAATTTACCACAAATTGTGCAATGCACAATGTGCATGTCACATTTTTAGAACGAATTTTTTAAACAAATTTATAAAATTATTAAACCAAATCCAATAATTATTCTTTTTATTTTAATGGTAAGAATATTCTACCGGATCGCAAAAAAACATATTCGGTGCTGTATTAACATAACTTTCGTTTTATTTGTTTAATTTTTTTCCTGTAAGGATATTTTTTTTAATTATAATAAGTTGTTGATTGTTCCTTTTTTTTAAATGTGTATATTTTCAAAAAAAAAAGTCAATTTTTCCCAAAAAGGACAATTTTTCAAAGAACTGGGAAAAAACGAAAAAAAAACAGGTTTTCCCCAAATTTTTCCGTTTTTTTCGACACTTTAAAACCGCATTCAGAACGTATAAAATATTTGTAGACCTGTATTTAATATTTTTTAGATTGGGGTATTGGTTGCCTATCCAACCACGCTAAAAAGTTAAGAAAACTTGTACTGGCGGATTGCATCAGGCTGACCAACTCATCTTTGGAACACTTAAGAAATTTAAAGGACTGTTTGGAATATCTATCAATATCGAATACTCTGGCCATTACAGACGCTGGAGCCTACTATTTCAGACTCGATTGGCCGAAACTTCAACACTTGGACATAAGCGGATGTCTCAGTATCGTTCATGGTGGGTTTTATGATATTGGGGTTGGTTGTAAAAAATTGCGGAGCCTTAACATCGCCAACACGAATGTTTGCGATAAGGCTCTCAAAGATTTGGGGTTAAATTTGGTGAACTTGAAAAACATCAATTTGAAGAATTGTTATTTTATTACTTTTAAAGGTTTTTATAGTTTTTTAATGGAACGGAAAACAAGTTTAAAGAAAATTAATATTAAGGGGTGCAATATTAGATCTAAAGTTGGTCATGTTTTTTCACAAAATTATTTTATTGAGTATGATGAAACTCCATTTTAAGCGTATGTCGAGCAAATATTTATTTCAAAATTTTAATGTTAAATATGTTTTTATTGTTTTAATATTTTTATTTAATAAATTAAACATTTACAGTTCGTTTTCTTATTCGGAATTTTACGTCAACAATTTAGGGACCCTAGAGTTTTCCAACTAAACCCCCAAATTTTTGACGTCGAATTCAGTGTTTTATTTAAACGGAAATTAAAAATTAATCCCGGCGCATTCACCATTTTTGCAAAAATCCTGACATTTGTTTTTTATATTTTTTTACCTATCCTTATTATACAGGGTGTTACTTAAGTATGTATTAGTTATTTAAGTGTCAAGATTTGTAAATTAACCTTTACGGGCGAGCTGGGAGTTTGTTGGGGAGCGAACCCCATAATCCAGTGAGACTAGTAAAGATTAATTGCAAAGCGTGACAAATACAAACTTTTATTTTCACCTTTACTAAAGGCTTTAGACCACGATATTCAGATTTAAAATTTTAATTAATATGACATTTCATTCCTTAAATTGCTTTTTTCTACTCCTATTACGGAATTTTACCCTTCTAATATCACTTTTATCTATGGAATGACATATATTCCGTAAAGTGCTACAGAATGAAATATTCTATCATCGGATGACAGAATAAACACTCGTGGCGACATCTCTGTTTTTAATATTAATTTCTAACAAATTTTAGACCGATCCAACCTCACTTTCTTCCAATTAAATTATTTTTCTATGGTATTTTTTGGAAACGTAGAAAAAGTATAGTCTGAAACACGTTTGGAATTGCATATTCCGCTCTCGTGAAACCGTCAAACTCGCCTTCGGCTCGTGTGATAAACTCCTCACTCGAGCGAAATATGCTGTATTCCAAACTTGTTACAGAATATACTATTCTAGAACCGTAAAATATTACAGGTATCGTTTTTTTATTTATTTATTCGATTTGCAGTAATACAGCAAAAATTATTACACAAGGTTTTAGCCTAAGGCTATACTATTCTAGAACCGTAAAATATTACAGGTATCGTTTTTTTATTTATTTATTCGATTTGCAGTAATACAGCAAAAATTATTACACAAGGTTTTAGCCTAAGGCTATGCAACCATAAGTACGACGTTTATTTACAATTTGGAAACTTTGTTCAAGAATTTCTTTAGTTTGTGGTAGGTCTGGTCTATGTTTTTTGGTAGGTCCATGATTTTGCTTCCAGTGTCTTTTTCGGTTTGTTGTCTTGCCTGTTGTGAATGTATCGTTTACTTGGATACAGGGCCATTTTACCCATTAGGCAGGCAAGGCAATTGCCTTAGGCGCCACGAAGAAATAGGCGCATTGTCCCCAACCAATTAAAAAATAAAAATTCTTAAAAAAAATAACATTATACAATTATGAAAATAATATATTCTTTACTGTTGTAATAACGCGGTGTAAAGCCGACAAAAGACAAAAGCTTGCCGCAAATTCACTTCTGTTTTTATGCAACATACCTAAGGTGAAATTAATCAGTATTTATATTAGATAGCAATCTGTGTTCGAAAGTTAGATAGTGTATGTTTCAAGGTGTTTTTTAATATTTGGTAGTTTTTGGTTTAGTTTACCCTTTTTTTACTACTTTTTAACTATTAAATCAACTTAAACTTTTCCCAATTAACCAGTTTAAGTTTATTTTAACTATATAATTATAATTTACTAAATATGAAATGAAATTGTCAAAATTCTACTATTTGAATTAGTATTAGCATTGTTTACTACTAAAATAGTCGTTTTCACTTTTAAATAGTTATTTTTTACTACTTAAATGGTTAAAGTTTAAATAATTTAAGATCTTTTACTGTTTCTAAGAGGAATAAGTAACTAATTTCTTTATTCGTTTTTAATTCTTGCGGCCAACAACAAATTATTGTTAGCGTTAAATGCATATAGGCTTCATGGTTAAATGGCCCATAACAGATGCTAAAAGTTTAGCTCCAAACAGCAACACAAAAAATATATTCAATTTTATATATTATTAACAATATTGATTATCAGATATAACAAATTTTTTAAAAAAGTAGCAGTGGTGCCGCGTTTGGACATCCGTTTGACAAGTTAGAGAGCCGAGTTCAAACCTCAGCTGGGTCAAACTTTTTCAAATTTACTAATTTGACTGATTTATTCGGTACTATTTGACTAATTATTAGTGACTGCTGTCGCTATGACAATAAGTCAAATATGACTTATAATTAGTCATTTTTGACTTTTTCATTTTAAGAGAATATACCCAAAGATTATCTTTGAATATACCTATATATCTATAGATATTACTTATAGACTAAACCAAAATATATCTAAAAAAATATTTACTTTTAACCATTTTTAAATGTTAAAATTAGAAGCTAATATAATTTTATGTAACTTCTAAAATAACCTACTTTTTAACTTATGAGTAATATTAACTAGTTAAATATTTGGTTTATTTATAGTCAATTTAAACTCCTGAAATAACCTTAATTTACCTATAGGTAAACCAAATATTTAACTAGTTAGTAATATTACCAATAGGTTTGTTTTATTAGTTACATTATACTAAAAAATAACCTTTGAATTTACCTTAAGGTTATAGCAACCAGTAGGTAAATTTAAAGGGTTATTTTTTAGTTAATAGTAACATTAAAAAATGTTAATGGTTGAATACAACTAATTGGTTAAAAACCCGTTATTTTACTTTGATGTTGGTTATTTTACTTAGAATGCTAGTTATTTAACCAGTTGTGCTACTTGGGTAATGACATCTTGCAATCCTTTGCAGAAAAAGGCACTTATGCATTTTAACATTTACACTTTTTAAGAACATTATATTTATTATGTTTGTATGTTATTTATGTTTTTAATAAACCTAGTTTTTGATAAAAAGTATTTTAAATCATACGGGATAATTTGGTTAGTAAGCCCGGGCGCCCTTAAGATAACAGATTGGGGTGTCTCTGATAAGCTTTTCTAAAATTTGCCCTGGGCCCCGTAAGTATAGTATGTAGTAATAGGCGCCAAACTTTAAGTGCCTAGGGCACAGAATTGCCTTAAGCCGGCCCTGCTTGGATACAAAAACAACAAAATTAACTTATAAAATGTAATTTACTAAGAACTTCTTAGTAAGAAGGTGGAAATAAACTAAATTTAACAGGCGATTCTTTAAGTAATTTTAAGACGTATAAGTTAAGTTCATTATAAACATAGGTACGCAAATGCTTCGTTTTTAAGATACAGGGTGCTTCTTTTAATTGGTTTTTTGTAAATATCTTAAATATACTTTACCCAATTCTGTTGTAATTTGTAGGGGCTAATTTAGCTTTTTCTTAAATTAAGCTTGACGAATATTTTTGACGAAAAATGTACGCCTATGAGTTTTTTGTAATTTTTATGTATTTTTTTTTACTTACTCCTTTGACTGGTTTTCTTGAGCTGGTGGTCAAATTTTCCGAACTATAGATGGGGACGTCCAAGTCGCTGACGTTGGAGGATATGCTGCCCTCCCTCCCGTCTCTCCCGGGGATGTTGAGGAGGCTCATGGCCTGCTGCTCCGCCACTGTGGGGCTCTTCAGGTAGTGGCTCTCCCTGACGTAGCCCACCCCGTCGTCGTCGTCGTCACGGTCCATTTCCGACGGCTCGGACAACAGAAATCTCACTCGTTTTGCTTGACTCAGCTTTCAGAGTTCATCAGCCGATTTTTTTGTGGTTTTTCGAGAAGTTGTGAATCGCCCGTAAAAGTTAAAATGTTACTGAATGACCCCTTCAAAGACACACGCTACGCGTCCCGACGCCGAGATTGAAAGTATTTTTAACTTTCGCGTCACAGTGGCGTTACAAACTATTTTTAATTGTTAAAAATATATGTGCTCTTAATCTTTTTTATATTGGTTGTATGGTTTATTTTATTTATTATTTATTTCAATACTAATATATTTTGTGGAATTTTTTCCCACACTAACTTTTTTTTCGTAAAAAAAACGGTTATTATGAAAACAAAATGTTGTCAACATTAGACGGCCAAAAAAATCAACTATTTTTTTTTTCGAAAAGTACCTATATCGAAAATATGGTTTGGGGTGACAAAAAAAAAATATTGTGAAAGTTTTAGTCCATAATATTAATATTAAGAGGTCTATCATCGCAATTTTAATTTTTTTTTCCTCAGCAAGTTTTTGTCTTAGGACTCCCAAACCATTGAGTTTAACAAAATTGACTCAAAAAGTAAATTAAATTCTCTACAAAAAAGGTTAAAGTGAAATTTTCGGTCAGATGAACCATTTCCTTAAAATCATGCCTTAAAACTGGTATGGTTTTACATTTTGATCTTTTAAATTGTAATTTTGTAATTCATGTAAAAATCAGTATCCATAAAAACCGATAAATATTCTTATGGGAAATCAAATGCTTTACAAAAAAAGCCTTTTAACATTTTTGGATAAATTCACTCAATCAAAAGTTATTCAAGGGTAAAATTTCGTTTTGACTTCAAATTTAACCTTGAATAACTTTTAATTGTGAATTTAGCCAAAAATGATAAAAGACTTTTTTTGTAGAGAATTTGATTTCCCATAAGAATATTTATCGGTTTTTTCAGGGTACTGATTTTTACATGAATTACAAAGGTAAAAGATCAAATTGTAAAACTATATAAATTTTCAAGGCATGATTGTAAGAAAACGGTTCATCTGACGGGAAATTCCAATCAAACCTTTTTTGTAGAGCATTCAATTTTCTTCAAAAAATATTCCAAAGTAAAATTTGTTAAACTCAATGGTTTGGTAGTTCTGAGACAAAAACTCGCTCAGGAAAAAAAATCTAAAATTGCGATGATAGACCTCTTAATATTAATATCATGGACTCAAACTTTCACCATAATTTCTTTTTGTTACCTCAAACCTCAAAAAAAAATGGTCGATTTTTTTGGCCCAGTCTAGTCAACATGGTTGACAGATGATGGGTCATTATGGGTGGTTTTCAGTATCTTTCAAGATTCTGATTAAATTTAAAAAAAATTGTTCGGATTTAGTTCAACTAACTTTTTTCTTTTGGGTAACTTGGTCAAATATGCCAGAATGATAAAGAAAGTGCATAAAAATAAAACTTAGAAGGGTTTTAAATAAAAAATAAACAAATTATTAACATGACCGTCGCATAGTATATACTTTCTTTTTCATGTGATTTCACACATTTTTATTTGCTCAAAATTAAAAGTATCCCCATGTTGTAAATTTTAGGTTAGAGTTTTCACCGGCAAACAACCGACAACAAAAAAAACATAGCGAGCAATTTATGTTGCTATTTTATCACTATAGCCTAAATATTAAAATAATGACTATATATACACGGTGGATTTTTAGGGTCAATTTTCGGATCATCAGGCAACCACGGTTTTTTTTCAGTAATCGATTATATGCCTGTTATAGACAAAATATACCAAAAATAAAAAAAATCTTTCGGTTTTTTTGTTTTTTATTAAGAAAAATATAATATAAATGGGTTTAATTTTACTTTATTGGTTATTTTGCAAAAAGTATAAATTTTATCGAAATTCTGTTTTAACAGTGATATAGAATAATAAATTTTCTACAAAAAAGGTTATAAGCATTTTCTTTGTAATATATATACTTTAGGAGTAATATCCGTACAAAGTTATAAATTTTTTAAAATTCGCATTTGCTGGTTCTTGTAATTGGAATTAAATTGACACATAAAAGTGGATAAAGTTTCTACTTTATAAAGTAATTTTTTATATATTTTTTATTGTAGAGTGGAAATTAGAAAGGGCCTAAGTGCCAAAAATAAAGTTTTGAGATAATCGAAAAAAACTAAATAAAAGCCATGTAAGCAACTGCATCCCTCGACATACTCGACCGGCTAGCCGCGGCTGTAAATTGTAATTTTGGCAATTAAAATTTTTCATAGGTTGCAAAGCATGGCACAGAGAACCTTTTTATAAAGCCTTTTCTTATTTCCTCTCTTCAATTATATATAATAATACTTAGAATTAATAATTTTTGATATATTTTTTTTGTTTTTTATAGCAATGGTTTTATAATTAAGTGGTTTTGAAATTTTTTGATTCTTTTTTAATCCAAAAATGGCAATGTATCTACCAGATACATGAGCGACCAATCCCATAAGTTTTTGCGCGCGACTAACGGAAGGTTAAGTCGAAAAAACGTAATGTATAATACAATTTTAAAATAACTTTTCTTATTTTAATAAGTAATTTAACTTAATTCTTTTGTTCTTATCACTCAAAATCTTGAAAAACCTTTTTTTCGGGTTTTGACGTTTACATTTTGCTTGGGTAACTATGATTAAAAATTAAATATCGCATCGAATTGTTTAAAAAGTAGATTTTTTATTCCTTTTTACTGATTTTTTTTTAATTATATGCTTTTTTATCGATTTTTTCTTAGTCATAAAGTATTAAAATCGAAAAAGAGATCAATTTTTAAAAACTTATCTACAGAAAGACCAACCAACAAATTTTTTTCCCAAGTTAAATAAAAAAAATTTAAGCAAAACATTTGTTTAGAAAAACTACGTTTAAAAATTACAGGAAAGCCAATATGGTAATAACCTTTTTTTAAGAAAATTTATTATTCTATATCTTTGTTAAAACAGCATTTTGATAAAATTGATACTTTTTGCAATATAACCAAAAAAGTAAAATTAGACCCATTTATATTATATTTTTCTTAATAAATAACAAAAAAACCGAGAGATTTTTTTTATTTTTGGTAATTTTTGTCTATAACAGGCATATAATCGATTTATGAAAAAAAACCGTGGTTGCCTGATGATCCGAAAATTGACCCTAAAAATCCACCGTGTATATATGTATATGGCAATAATTTTATAACACAAAAACCCAACATTTGTTCAATATCATTTTCTTTGGCTACTTAAAAGTTGAGTTAAATTTTTATAAGATCGAAAATATTGGATTTTGCTCGAGGGACATAAGACGGTCATGTGAAACAGGAGTTTTAAAACCAAAATTAAAAAATAAATTCATAGGATATTGAAATAAAACAAAGAAATCATCTGCCTTTAAACCAAAAATAATAAAAAACAAATAAATAAATATGTCTCGTACGCCTATGCCTTTTACTACGTCACGCTGTGTCTCGGTTTTTTCTTTTTTGTCAATAGAAAACATAAAAAACACTTTGCCTGAGATGAACACATTAGAGAAGAATTACATAACACTTTGAACACAGACATAATTAGGAATAACATATAAAAATAAATTTGACTGTAAAACAATTTTAAGTAAATTGCGTAATTACAAGTCTATTAAAATGACATTTTAAAATTGAAAAGAATAATTAAAAATTAAGGTCTGCATTTAAAGATTTTTAGTACTCAAAAGCATCCGCTTTCAATATTGTCTCTGATTGTCTGATTTATTGATATACAATAAATCATAAATACAATTGGACGGCTTTCTGCAGAATGGGACCAACCCACACCATGATGAAACTGAGAAAAAAGCTATCAAAGATTTTAATAATTTTAAAATTACCTGTTAATTTTATGCCGATTTTGGACTTACGGAGGTTTAAGGGATATAATTTAATAAGTTCATCAGGTGGATTTTGTGATGTTATGTGTAAGGGTGACGAAAAAAAATGGGCTTTTGTTGGTTGGTTCCTTTCTGCAATTTATGAAAACTACTATCTGATGTATGTATGTATTTAAAGAAAAGCGAAAATTATTTATTTCCAAACAAAATACAACTGATATTACTATTATAATGGTAATATGAATTAATTTTGATTCTATTTGAAATTCGTCCACATCATCTTCCAACCCCACCTCATCTTGTAAGCTACCAAAAAAATGCATCAAGACTTTATATTTTGCAGAAGCAGGAAATCTTTAAAGACTTTGGTAGTGGGTCTACCAGCCTGCTTTTTTACAAAAAAGATCCAACCCACTTGCAGATATTCTACAGATTCTAATTCTGGATTAGTAATCCACACTATTTTATTTATTTATTTTTATTTATTGATACTACTTACAAACACTATTATTGAATGTTGGTTGGTTCAATGATTAAAAGATTTCACTACACTTGCATTTTGGCTATGACCTATTTTGCAGATAAATTATACATACTTAATTAGTTCATAGGCTAAATATCTCGATTTTTTTGGTTTTGTGGGTTGGTTCCTTTCTGCAGAAAGGCGTTCAATTATTATAATGAGGCTTGCCTAAAAAATTTTGTGTGCACCACTGTCAGAAAGTGTTATTTTTTCCTCAGCCATTAAAATCAAACCCTTAAAAAGTCACTTTTTGGCCTTAGTAAAAAAATAACTATTTTTAAAGGAAATCTCAAAAAATATTACATTACGTTTACAAGTATAAAAATAAACAAAAAAATATTTCTTATTTTTTCCGTCTATTTGGCATGAATAAGTAGGTAAATAAAACCGTCTATTTATTGTAATAACTTCTAAATTTACACGCGCTATTAAAAGCGCCTAAAAACACGTGAAACTACGTCACAAAACGTCAGCTCACACCCATATATTTTTAATTTTAACGCGGTAAACATTCCGTGATTTATAATGAATATTGCGCCAAATATTTAGAGAAAAAATTATTACATAAACACAACATAGCTACAGCTTAAGTTGACGTTCTTTTTTTTTTAAACAAAAGCCAGTGGAAATGTCAAAAAGACGCCCGTCTGAAAGTGAGGTTATAAATTCAACAAACGTCAAAAAGAATACAAAATACTTTATTAATCATCATAAAAAATGCACATACAAACCGAAATTAGGCACCGACGCATTCCTCGGTGCCGTTGTAGGTGATGGGGTCGAATAAAAATACGTTGTGAATCGGGACTTCTTTCTGCGAAACGGCTTTTATAACTTCTTGGGCAATCACGCCCCCAACGGCCGCGCAAGCTGGGACGACTTCGCCAAAAATCAAATCGAATATGTCGTCGTTTACTTTTGCTGGGTCGATATCGTAAACTTGAAAAATTTCCGATTTTATTTCCTGCAAGGATTTTAAGTCTTCGTTTTTGGTGGTTATCGAGGGGTTCCTGTTGTGGCGATTTCTGAACTCAATTAATGCTAAAAAATATTTTTTTTTAACAAAAATAGTATTCATAAAGAAGTTACTTACTTAACATCACAAAGAAAAGAACATTACGCCTTTTCTTCTTCTTAATACCTTCAATACTTTGCTTTGAGTTTGGCAGAATAACAACTTTCTTAAGTTCAGGATAGTTGATTGTATTTTCTACTTTCACAGTTTGTTTTTCCTCACCCTTGTGGTCTCTTTTTTTGCCCTTCAACTGAATTTGTTCCCTGAAAATATATAAATATATGGCAGAAGTCTTACTCGACAAATTTTATTCAATTGCACAGCTAAATCGCGCACGTTATTTGAGTTTTACGTTGCATGGATAAAGTTAAAAAACTTATATCATTGATTAAGAAACTCAACGATTAAATGCTTTTAAAGTTACGTTAGTGTGTGTATTTTATAAAAGGGATCATGGTGAATTATTGTGTTTTTAATTGTAAATAAAATTCAACAACTAAATCGTTGCATTTTCATGTTTTGCCAAAGGATCCAATTCGGTAAGTACATTTGTTGGTGCAGAATTAACTAATGATAACTTTACCTAATATAATTTATATTTAAGTTTGGACATTTTTAAGAAATTAGTAAAAATAATTTTTGCACAAACATAACCTTAAAATCAACCATTTTTATATTTGAGTTCTCTAAAAAACGCTGACAACTGCATTTTAAACAACAAAATATACCTACGAATTCATGGCAACATAATATTATAAATAATATATAATAAAATGGTATTTTACCGTTGAGTGGAGACTTTCTTAATCAACGCTTTTAATAATGCTAAATGCTGTTTAAATTTAGACGACTTATTTGTTTGACGATTTTTACTAAATTGAAATGTTTACACTTTTCACGTTAATCACTACTAAAATTTGTATTTATTGTATCTAATAGGTACAATTTATATTTACAGAGACTGTATGCAATTTATTTTTTCATTCAGATTAATTATTGAAAAAGAAGAAGAAGAAGATGCCAGACGAAAAAAGTACTCCGGTTTCTAACTGCAAATACTGTAAAAATAATGTAGCAAATGCAATAGCAAAGTGTGAAATATGTGAGTCAGTGTACCATACATCTTGTGCATTGAGAATTCCGGGATTAGTAGCCGTGGGCAAAAATAATCTCGTAAAATGTTGTGTCAAAGTAAGTGAGGTTAAGTCACCACTTGTTGAAAATGATCTAGATATCATTAAGGAAATAATCCGAGCTAAGGAGGAGATTATTAAAAGTAAGGATGAAATAATAACTGAGATTAAAGCGAAAGAACTTTTGTTATATCAAAATATTAAACTACTAGAAGAGAAAGTAGCACAAAGGGGGCAAAAACTTGGCAACACCGCTGGACCCATAATGCAACACGTAAAGCAGGTTGACCAACCAACTAACAACACTACAATTGACAATCAAAGCAAAACAGCTGTTATTACGAAAACAAAACAGAATGTTTCGAATAAAGAAATGAATTTGGGTGTACTCCAAGCCCAAACTGCAAGTAAAATGAAGGAAATAATAAATTTAGGAACCCCCGACTCAGATCACAACCCTGAGTCGCGGCAACCAGCCAAAACCGACAATGGAGCTGATTGGAAATTGGTTAAACATAAAAGAAGGTATCTAGTGGGCAAAAGTGATCTGAGTGCTGGAGTTACCACAGTACCTAAACTGACATCATTACATGTTACCAGACTTGCACCAGGAACTCAGGCTGAAACACTGAAAGAATTTTTAAAGCAGAAATTTCCCGATGTACAATGTGAGGAGCATTCATCAAAACATCCCGAAAGTTACGCATCTATGAAAGTAACTATCAGGCAGGAACAACTCAAGGACGCGTGGAAAAGGGAGTCCTGGCCTAATGGAGCCTTTGTCTCCCGGTTTTTTCACAAAAAGAGGATGGTGTCAGCACAGGCAGATCCAACGAAAGAAGCTTAATCAGAAATGGTCCCAAGAAAGAACTTAGTATATACTACCAGAATGTGCGAGGTCTACGTACAAAAACCCATGACTTCTATAAAAACATTTTAGCAGAAGATTATGATATAATAGCCATCACTGAATCTTGGTTAACCGAAGGTATCAGAGATGCAGAACTATTTGATAACAGGTATAATCTTGCCAGACGTGACAGACAAGGGGATAGATTAAGAGGTGGAGGACTGATTATTGCAGCCAAAAAACATATCTCAATGGAAACTGTAAATTTTGTATGTGATAGCGATATAGAGTGCCTAGTTGTTAAAGTTAAGTATAAAAAAGAAAATTTTCTTTGTTGTTGTGTGTACATACCACCTTGTGTGGCTTATACTCACTTTGTTAATTTTTATGATAGTTTGGAGCAAATTCTGCTAGAAAACATTAAATGTATAATATTAGGAGATTTTAATATACCTAGCTATGTAAATGGTACCTGCGATAAAAGTTTGCTAACAAATAATTTTATAAGTATCTGTGATCTGTACCAGTGCAATTAGTGATGGGCGTTCCGGGTCACTCTTTTGAACCGGAACACTAGATCTGGATCACATAAGTGAACCGGTTCAACGAACCGGTTCAAAAGAACCGTTTGAATCTCAGACTAATTAAAAATAACACTTAATGAAATCATTCGGAGCACATAAACTTTAAGTTTATATTAAAAATGTTTATCACTTTAATACTTAAGAGCCTTTATTAAATTATAAGGCAATACAAATTGTTATTTTAATAATATTATAAAGGCTATTAAATATTACATTGTATTTTATTAAAGTTTTGTTATACCATACTATTTATTTTATTAAAATTTTATAAAACAATAAAAACTCTATTATTTTAATATTTTACATGAAAAGCTATATTTAAAACATAAATGTTGTAAGTTTACACAATTTAAATTAATTAATATTAAAAATATATTTAAACGACATTGTCATAAGGGAAATCATCTCATATTTCTGTGGGTTTGTAAAAAATTACCAAAAGTATAAATTTGCCTAACGTAGTAACGCGCCACAGAACGCAAGAAGTTCGGTTCCGAACGATGCGACCGGCATAGGCACTAGCGAGCTGCATGATACAACAGACATGATCGAGCCGCGCCTAGAGAATCGAGATGTTTTGGGCAGATCTGGATCACAGAAAACAAAACGTACTGCGAGCGCGAGTCGTTCTTAGCTCCAGGGAGCCGGTTCAGATCTCTCGCGACCCGCCGCTCACGGCTCGAGCGGCTCGCCATGCGCGGCCTGTTCAATGCACTGCAGCAGCATAGCGAGTCACTCGCTGCGAGTGGTGAAGCAGTGAATCGGAGCTTAGAACGGCTTGCGCGCGGCCGCTTTGTAATTTCGGACCCGTGAGCCGGTTCGTTTAATTTTCGTGAACCGGTTCACGTAGATCACTTATAAGACCCGGTTCACTGAGCCGGTTCAGATCTGACCGACACATCTCTAAGTGCAATACAGTTTCCAATTTTATGAATAGGAAACTAGATCTTATACTTACTAACTATTCAAATATAAACTGCTGTAGGTGTAAGGAACCATTGGTAAATGAGGATGTATACCACCCAGCATTAACTTTATCCTTAAAAATTGAAAAAAATTTGAATGAAGATGAAATTCTTCAACCGGCTTATATTTATAATTATGCCAAAGGTGATTTTAATTTATTATATTATCTTATAGGATCCCTTGATTGGAATGAACTTAACAATATTAGTGATGTAAATGTGTTAATTGATATTTTTTACAAAAAAATATATGAATGTATTGACCAGGCTATTCCAAAAAAACAGATAAGTTCACATAAAAATAAATGTAAGTATCCGAATTATTTTAGTTATGACTTAATTAAAAAAATTAAAAAGAAAAATAAGCTCCATGGACCTGTCAAGCTAGGTAAAGCCAGTTTACAACAAACAAGGGACTATGGAGAACTTAGGCATCTAATTAAGAAACAAATAAGTTACGAATATAATTCTTATCATAAGAAAATAGAGAACAACATAAACGAAGACCCTAGTAGTTTCTGGACGTTTATCGAATCCAAAAGTTCTACTAAGGGCATACCAACGAAAATGGTATTAAATGACACAGCCTATAATGACCCAATCTCTATAGCTAATGCTTTCGCTGGTTATTTTAGTTCTGTATATATAATGTCTTCAGTAAATAAAAAAGGGTGCGAGGGAAATTTTAACTTCTCACTTATAACGGAGACCAAAGTAAGAAACAGTATAAAAAAGTTAAAACCTAAGAAGGCAACAGGTAAAGATAACATTCCAGCTTATATATACAAGGGTTGTGTTGACTTTCTTGTGGAACCCCTGATTGCTATTTTTAACACTGCTATTAAATCTAATTGTTTTCCAAGTAAACTAAAGGAATCCATAATAACCCCAATTTTCAAGACTAATGATAAGAACTGTATAAGTAACTATAGACCAATTTGTATTTTAAATAGTTTGGCAAAAATTTTTGAAGTTGTTCTGTGTGAGGACATTATAAATAACTGTAAGGAAATGTTTTCCCCGGAACAGCACGGATTTTTATCAAATAGATCAACAGCTACCAACCTCTGCATTTTTACAGAGTTTGCTGCACGGGCAATTGATAGTGGTTCCCAGTTGGATGTTGTTATGACTGACTGTGCAAGAGCCTTTGATAAGGTCGACCATGGAGTTCTTCTTGAAAAGTTGGGGGACTTTAATTTTTCGGGAAGTGCGGCTATACTTATAAAATCATATCTGAATGGAAGATACCAGCAGGTTAAGGTAGGAAAATGTCTTTCAGAACGGATTATAGTGACGTCAGGGGTTCCACAGGGAAGTAACTTAGGGCCACTACTGTTTGCTATATTTGTCAATAATTTACCATTAAGTGTTAAATATTCCTCTTGCCTACTGTTTGCTGATGATTTTAAAATTTTTAAACAAATTAATAACGAAAACGATAGCGAACTGTTACAAAAAGACCTGGACCATGTATCAGAATGGTTCCAGGAGAATAAAATGTTTCTTAATGTAGATAAGTGTGCTACCATAACATATACTCGTAAACTTGCATTTATTAATAGGACTTATAATCTTAACAATATTAACTTAACTAGAATTTATGAATGTAAAGATCTGGGTGTGTATCTGCAATCAAATATGAAATTTAATACTCACTATAATACAATAGTAAATAAGGCATTTAGGGTACTTGGATTTATACTTAGAAATTCAAAATTTTTTAAACACATTTCATCCATTATTAAATTATACAATGCAATAGTAAGGCCTCATCTTGAATATGCATGTATTATCTGGTCACCTATAGCAGAAGTTAACATTGATCTCATTGAAAAAGTACAAAAAAGATTTCTTAGATATTTATATGTAAGGAAATATAATATTTATCCATATATGGTATCATATGTGTCTATGTTAAAAGATTTTAATTTTAATACTCTTGCAAAAAGAAGAAATATGCAAGCTGTTTTGTTTGTTTTTTATATTGTAAATAATTTAAAGTATAAAGATCTGTTTATTATAAATAATATTAAAATCTCAGTGCCAAAAATTAATTTAAGGATAAAGAATAAAAGACTGTTTTCTATAAATAAAAAAGACTGTTCGCCGCTTAATTTTATGTTGGTACAGTGCAATAATTTAATTGATAATTGTAATATTGATTTTTTTAATACAAGTGTTAGGGAAATCCAAACATTTTTTAATTGTGATTTTTTGTAGTTTTAGTTTTTAGATTTAGTTTATATAGGATATAACTTAGGGTATAGGCACTCTTACATGTAACAACAATTTTATATTGTGTTTGTTTGAGAATAAATAAATAAATAAATAAATAAATAAATAAATAAATAAATAAATAAACACTGTTTATTGGAAAACCGGTAAAAACTCAACCCAGGATTTCCTCTCGAAATACACCCAACAACACAACAAATCGAGCCACGGTTTTTTTTCCGATATTTTAATATTTTCCGGCTTTATTCCCAAAAACTTTCGTTTGTAACATAAGCGTTTAACAGCTGATTATTAAAAGTTGTAGTTTTGTTACCACTATTTCCAGAAAAAATATAATCTTGGCTCAGAACATAATTATTGAACTTTCATATGACTAAAAACTGTTTTTTAAATTAATAATGACAGCTCATTTTGTTTCGTGTTTAAGACATCCGGTCATCTGTTATAGTTTATTGTTGACATCTGTCAACTGTCATTTTTAAAATATGTCCTGTCATTTAAAACTTTAAAATTAAGGGTACCACAGCATATTTTTTATTGGACTGAAAGTAACAGATACCTAACCTCAATTTTACTGAATGTGACAGAAACCTAACCTAAATACTACTGAAGGTGACCTAACCTCAACAACTCAATGCATTGTTGTCAGATTTATATTTTATATCAATGTTGGTAAAATTTGATTAAAATAAAAAAAAAAAACAGAATTGCCAAAATGCATATAATATCCTGGAATTACCAAAGTGTCTTTCATAACACCCTGTAGGCAGATTAACATAATAATAAATTTTAAACTTACTCAATGTATTTATGTTCTTGAAAATCGCTAATAGAATATCCAAAAGTTCCAAAAACATCTCCACAAATAAATTTTACGTTCTTACTATGACAAGCCTTATCAATTTTCAACAGTAAATCTGTTTTTATACCAGTTGCAATAACAATTGTGAACTTTTCAAAGAAATCCATATCTTTTTTTCCTACTGCTTCAGTGTCAGATACGATTTTAACCAAAGGATTTAAGGCTTGTGCTTTGACCATTACTTCCTCAGCAATCTACAAAAAATAGTTAATAAGGTATAATACATAAAAATAATACATTACCTTTTTCCCAACACTACTCCTACTCAGCAAAAAATTCTTCAACAATTCCTCTTCGGTAACCACACCATCATCAAGAATTGTCAGCGAATTTATCCCCGATAACAAAATATTCTTCGCGATCTCGGACCCCAAACCTCTAATACCGATCAGCAAAACATTTGCAGCCCTCAATCTACAAAAAACACATACCTCAAAAAACTATCTTATAAGGTTATAACCTATAACTTACTTCTGCTGCGATTCTATGCCCCATAACCTAATTTGCCTATCGTACAATTCAGCTTCGACAGCTGATAATTGAGTTTCACCCATGGTTATACACAGAAATTACGTTAAATAAGCAAATATAAGAAATTACCGGCGTTTCTAAACGCGTACAAACACAAATCGATGTATATAAGTAGTACCAACTAAAATTTTGACGTTTGCTATTTTTGGCAATTAAGGATCTAGGGATTTTAATGTTACTTTGTTGGCAGTGACGCGCGAAGTGTAAATCTAGTTAAAACAATTTTTTTGAAGATTTATTGTAAAAAAACGCAGTTTTTGAAGTGTTTAAGAGGCCTATTCCCTTTCGCTAAACATGCATGTTCATGAACTACATATGTTTCGTAACATATGAGCCTATTCCCTTTCAATTATTTCGTCTATAGACGCATGCGCTCGAAGAATTTCTTAAACATCCATGTTTATAAACATCATCGGTGTTAAAATGGCTATTCCGTTTCCAAAATTCGATGTTTGGTGAACATACATGATGTTTGAAAACGTATGTTTACGAACGCTTGCCTAAGAGGTGCTGTTATAGAATATTTAAGGTTTTTTATCAATATTTAAGGTTTTTTATCTTGCATTAATCATAAATTGCGGCGATGTTTGGTACAGTATACAGTACAGTATCATTATCAAGCATAGTAATTATAAATTAATTACTTTTTCATAATTAATACCTAATTAATTATAATTATAAATGATAAATAATTAAATAATCATATAAGGTTTTACACCAAACAAATAATAATATATTTTTTGGTAATTTTAAAAATATGTTTGATTTGTTTTTTAATTATTAAAATGTATTTCCTAATTATAATACCAGAATACAAATTTTGCTTTACTAATTTTTTTTATATAATTTTATTATAATAATAAATATTTATTTAGAGAAAAACAGAAAATTAAAAAAATCTGAGTGTGAAGAGAGAATTTCGGGGGAGGAAGGTCAAGACTTATATGTTACAAGAGTGTCTAAAAACGACCTCTAAAACTATATATATATACTTATTGGTAGAATAAAAAATAACTTGGAAAAATATATTTTATTAAAAAAATACAACAAATATAAAATATCAAATACCTATGTAATATTATTACTCAAAAATATAGACAAAATATTAGTCAAAGAAAAGTATAACTAATAAAATACAAAAAAATATGCATCTAAAAACTATTTTTTTTCACATGGGAGCTAAAACTTTTTGGTTTAATTTTAAAATCTTTTAGGTTTTATCAATACCTTGTAAAACCTCTACACCTTCACTACTCGTCAGAGTTTGAGTTGGACTTTCTCTTTATGCGTCCCTGTTGTAGAAGGCACCCTTCCACCCGAACTTAAAGGCTGGTCAATGAAGAGTTCCAACGATGGTATTACCTCCACCTTACCCTCCACCACTAACTTTCACAGCGCTTCCTCTATTAGGGCTAGTAATTTATCCTTAGAGTAATGAAGTTGTTTTACTGGCTCCCCGACATTGCCAGTCTCCATGTGAGAAATGCGTAGTTTTCTTGCCGTTTTCAATACACTAAAAGTGTGTAAAAATAAGTAACAAATAATTATTTTAAGATATTTTATGATTACCCTTTTCCATATAAGGATGGACTTAATGGCCCCGCCAGAAGATCTGTGCTTTGGCTAGTTCAGCATAAAACGTTTTTCCCAAGTAGGTATTTTTAGAATTTGTGGATTTTCCCAAATTGTTTTTAAGTTCATTTAATATATTAAATATCACCAATGATGTTTAAAACAATTATCTAACACAATTTTAGTTTAGTCTGCGACTTTTAGGTTATAAAACTAAGAAACTCCCTGTCCTAAAAACATTTATCGCTGTTCAGAAAGATTCAAGGTCAAGACTCTCAACATATGAGAAACGGAATACCCCTAAACATAGGTAATGTTTGGCTTGTCGTTGGGTGAACATACATGTTAAGAAATCGATGTTTACGAACAGCAAGAAAGGGAATAGGCCTCTAAATGGTTTATTGTAAAAATATAAACATTACAGTTCATAAATTTTCGAAAATAACATATTTTGACAAGTCAAAATAACAAAATCACAGAAAGTTTACAACAAAGAACAAATAAAGGTAAAGAGCCTTAAAAAAATCAACATAGATTGTTTGTACTATTGTTTCAGGCAAAACAAGTTGCCGGATTCCTTATCGAGAGTCAAGATGGCTTGCGTTTTGTTATGTAGAGTACACAAAGGATTTGTGATGTAATCATCTGGAACAGGTAATTGGTTTATATCTTTTTTGATTATGTTAACATAATAATCAGTATGTTTGCAGTTAAATGCGCTCATAAAGAAGTCGTACGTTTTGTAGTCGACGAGCTTATTAACCGCGAATTTCATGCTTTTTATGGCGGATTTGTACTCCAAGATTGGTGAATCTTTGTTTGTTACTTTTGGGGTGGCATCTGGGCGTTCTATTTTCATTTTGTTGATTAAATTTGTGCATTCTTTTAAGCTTATGTTTAAGCTGCTTGTGAGTTCGGAGGTCGACTCATTAATTTCAGGTCTTGAGTAGGGTTTGTGTGTTTTTTTAGTTTTTTCAGAAGATGAGGATTTTTCACTGGAGGATTCAAAAGAGTCGTCGTCAGACCAACTGGAAATTTGTTCCTTCACAGATTCCAGTAAGCTTGTTAGATCCTCTTCAATTTTAGGTAAATTAAAGACTTTGTTGTCGACTAATTTTACAGGTGGTGAATGTGAATGTTTTATTTCTTTTTGGGGTCTTGAATATGGGGAATTTTTACTTCTAGGGGATTTTTCTTCTTTTAGGGTGCCGAAATTGCGATTTATATCGGAAAGTAATTTTGTTTTTGAATTTGGTGTTTCCAATTCTGAATCCACTTTTGTTATACTGCTTTTACTTTTTTTCTTCTTTGATTTTCTTGTGTATGGTTTGTTTTTTTCTTTTTTCAAATTTATATTTTCTTTCTCACTTTTAAGACTCAATAAGTTATTTTTGTCATCTGCAATTTTTTTAATTGTGAATTTATTTTCAGATTCATCAGGTTTTTTGGTATCTTCAACTTTTTTTATTTCGTTAGTCAACAAAGAAATTTTAAAAAGTGATTTTGGTTCAGGATTTATTTCTGTACTTTTTTCCTTGAATTCCATTGTTTCCAACAATTCCAACACAAAAATCCAATCGAAATAAAGCTCTGATAGTTTTGAGATGGAAAATGAGTCGATTTCTAGATATTTTATAAAAATTCTTAAGGAAGAAACCAAGTTTGCTGTTCCTTGAATATCAATGAATTTCTCTAAAAAACATAAACAAATAATTCCTATGGTTCCTATAACCACCTCTAATAAAAAAATCTTACCATTTGTTATATTAGCCAACAGATAATTATAAACATCCCCTGTGAACAAATTCTTGTTTTTAAATCCCTCAAATTCATCCAAATTTAACAGCAGTTCAATATTTTTCCAAGTGGCACTTTTCTTCATATTATTTTGAAAATATGCGACATCATTTTGGCAAAAACGATTTTGAAAGTTCATGTGAACAATTTCCGGGTCATAAACACATGGTATATTATTAAACTGCTCAGAAAAAAAAAGTATTGGGTTTTCTGACGTTTCAAAATCTTGGCCCTAAAATTTTTTTTGTATTCACTTTTTTGTATGTAAAATCTCTTACCTTGGTCAAATATCTTATAATACTTTTAAAATAATCATCTGGTGGTGATACAATGGCAACAACGCTCAAAGAAAGCCTATTTATTGACCACAAATATGCTTTTAACAACTCTCCCAATGTTTTCCCTAATTTACTGTCAACCCCTGTATATTCTTCAGGTTTAAAGAGAATACCACCAATTGGCTGAAATTTATTAATAGCAACCTAAAACTTAATCATTAGTCGGTAGGTATTAAACTAAATTTATTATAACTTGCCCATCTAAGACAAAAAATTAATATATCCGTTGGATCATCAGTATTATTTGGGTGTGATGGGTAGATATCCTTTATTTTGTACTGTTTTATGGTGAAAAACACTTTTTTATGGTTTGGAAATGTTAAACTTTCAGCCAAGTTTGTTAGAAATGTGAATAGAGAATCGGACATAACATCAGATTTTGAACCCTCGTTTCCTAAAAATTATTGGTTTCATTTACGTTTATTCCATCGATAAAAACATCCATGGGTATATTTAAATTTACACACGATTTTTACTTAAATATATTTACTTACTAGATTCTTGATTTTCATTTTTATCTGCTTTTTTCCCCTTCTTGGGGGCTTTAATTACCATTTCGATACTTTTTACTTCGCAATCGCAATAATGAATCAAGAAATCCTTAACTTTTGTTTCGGCTGTCTTACTTTTTGTTGGTTATGTTTTCACAAACAAAACCGATCACGTGATTGGTCGAACGCGGGAGCTGTTAAAATGGCGGTATATTTGAATTTATAAATTGAAATTTATGGTTTTCAACGTCTTTTTTGGCTTTTATCAAGTAATTCTTAACTTTTGTTTTGACTGTTCATTTTTTGTTGGTTAGTTTTTCGTAAACAAAAACATTCACGTGATTGGTCGAACGCAGGAGCTGTCATAATGGCGGTAAATTTGAATTTAAATAGTGAAATACTGATTTTTAAGGTATTTTGATGAAATTAAACAAGGTTATGTGTATTGTTAGTGTATATTTAGTAAATGTAGGTATATAAACTCTAAAATATCACAAGGGGGATATGTTTGACGTTAATTAAAATAAATTATCCTAAATTATGTTAATTATAAACTACTCTCAAATTGTTCATATTTATCGGGCCGATATGCTTCATTAACAGCCCCTATTTTATGAACTTTCTGCTCCTTGAATATCTTGTTATTCATTTTTTTGCGCCCGGCAAAATGCTCGGTTATTTCATACAAAGTTTTACCTTCCGTTTCCGGTAGAGCAAAATGTAAAGTAATGGCGCCAGTGAGAGCCATACAGCCGTAAAACCAAAAAGTACCCGGTACAGTCATGATGCCGACCATACTGAGAAAAAGTTTATTGGCGGCAAAACCGAAAAAATAACTCGTCGCTCCGGTCATCCCGGAAGCCATAGAGCGCGTTTCCGGGGGGTACACTTCCCCTATTAACATCCAGGGGAGTATCCTTATGCCCGTGTGGCAGAAAAACGCGGCGCTTATGAGGAAAGTCAATGGTATCCAAGTCTGGTCCGCCAGGGGGCTGTTCGAGTCAACTGACTCTTGATCCATGTAGAAGACGCCTATTAAGTAGGCGTAGG